ATCATATTCAGTTTATACTGAGTACAATATTATATAATTGTATTAGTTCAACTTAAACTTAAAAACTCACAGCCAATTTTGAAAGAGATGCATCTTAGCTCAGGAAATTGTTATTGAATAGGTTAATGCTGTTGCAACGAAATGCTTCTTCTAGTAAACAAAAAGAAAAAAGAAAAAATAATAAGGAATTAGTATTGGTAAAGGCTCTACTTCCAAAAGTAATACACTTACCTGGCTGAGCAGGTCTTTGCTTAATGAGCAGAGGGAAAGAAAAGAGGCAGCTCTTAAGCAGAGTTAGAATAATAAAACACATGACACTATTTGCTTCCTTTGCTGTGTGCTAAGTGATAGTGCTACGTTCTGTACAAAGTTATCTCATTTATTCTCATATTATAAATAAGGGTAAGGAATGTGTCTAGGGTCACACAGTGAGTGACAGAATCAGTGTCTGACACATAGCTTGGCCCTGTTAGTCATTTTCTCAGTATTGCACTTATTATTTATGAGTACATTAACAGGAAAGTTTAGGGATCACAGCAAGAATAATATCTGCATTGAGTAAAAATATTTACTGAATGAGTGAGTGGCTGGTAGCGAATAGGATGGTGACTTAATATTATTGCTGTCTGTCCTATGGCAGATGTGACACAGCTATTGCCTGTGGTAGCTATTATAGCAACTTGCATCGTTGTTTTGTATATTGTACAGTGTTGGTGCTATATGGCTGGATTTAAATGCTGGTTAATATTTTCAGCAAGATTACACTAACACTTGGGAAGCTGAGAAGGGGGATCTCCAGAGCAAGCTGGTTAGCTAGATGAGCCCAATCAGGAATCTCTGGGTGGAAATGAGAGACTTACCTTAACATATAAGGTTGAGAGCTATCAAGGAAGACACCCAATGCCAGCCTCTGGCCTCTATACATGTATACACACATGCACGTGCACCCTATGTGCTCACATACATGTGAACAAGAGTACACCCACACCCACACACATACACATTAAAAAATCCCAAACAACAACCAACCACAAAACACATAGCAAGAAGTGGAGTGTAATTCTATATGAGTGATGAGAATATTATGTGTTGAAAAAGTGGCCATAGTACAGAGCAACTAAAGAAGAAACTCAAAGAAATGCAGTGATGCTGTTTCATTACTGAAGCACACCTGTGGGAGGATCACCACCGTACACCAAGTCACACAAGTGAAGGCAGAAGAAACCACCACAGTCCTCACCATACATGAAAGGAATGTCAAACCAGGGAGAACCTGGTGAAACCAAATTCTTAAATTTTCAGGATGGCTATTGAAGCGTGGAACAACAATTTGTCAAAAAATTCTAACTAAGTGGAAGCTGCTTCTTTTCCAGTGACAAGTAGTTCAACTGAAGGGGAAAAGGGAACCTCTGAACTTAGTCAGAGAGGACATGCTCAAAAAATCTCACCACCCTTTGACATGCTTGTGAACGCCAAGGCTGCTAAAGTAATGAACGTCAGGAGCACAGGTCACTAACACAGCATTTCATCCTGACGGCACGAACACTGTCAAACATCACAATTTGCCACTACATTTAATTTTAAACAACAAAATCACCCCAAGTGTGGAAGGCAGAACTTGACCTCTGGTACCCCACCCCATAAAAAAGAAAATTTTAAAAATAAAAAAAATTAAAAAAAATAAATTAATTTTTAAATTTTTCATGTAAAATATGAAAGATATAAAGGATATAAAGAAATGTTTTAAACAGTTCTAAAGTATTTTTAGCAAAATACTAATGGAAAAAAAAGGACTAAAATTTTACGCTTTGAAATGTGACAAGTATTTTTATAAATGTAGCATAACAAAGCCTACAGTATTTACAAAGTTTTCAGTGGTGTACAGTAGCACCCAAGGTCTTCACATTCACTCACTGACACTCAGAGCAGCATCTGTTTCTAAAACCCAGATTCACATTAAGCGTCTATCATAGATGCAGTATTTATCTTTATATCATATCCTTTCAGATATTTAGACCAAATGCTTTTTGTTTGATACATACTTCTGTTATCACATCCTATTATAAAATACACAGTACAATGCATACCACAGACGTCTGGAGCCTTGAAGCAATAGGCTATGTCAGATAGTCTTATCCCTTGTAAATGGCGTGTCGGGTAGTCTAAGTAGACTACACTATTACAATATGAACCACACACAATTATTGAAACTGACTAGAAATGTATTTAGAAGAGCAGAAAAAGGAAGGTGTTTAAGGTTTAAAAATGAGTCAGAGCCAGACCTGTAACAGGTAAGAAATATGTCCTCTATTCAAGGAACATAGCAAAGGCTGATAAGCTCTTCCTCACAGAATAAGTATCTGCATCAAAATGGGGAGCAGTCTGGACTTACATAGGAACTCTGCTGCACACAACTGCAAGAGTTACCTCCGTGCCAGGGTCTGGTGTCCTTGAGGGTCTCTTCTCCACAGATTATTTTCTCAGGTAGGTGGGAGATTTATCCATAGTACTGAAGGAGACAAGTAGCCTCCATAAACAGAGTCTCTCAGTCCAGGGAGTGACCAGTTTATAAGGCTTGAGAAAGGCCAGGCTGCCAATTTAGGGCCAGTTAGATACTTGAAGGGATTTATGGCTTTCCCTAATGAGGCTTGTGGTTCTTCTGCAATTCATATAGTCTATCAGCATAGACCACCAAATATTTCCATTTGTAAGAAACATGGTTATACCTACAGAATTCTTACCTCAATGTTTCTTTTCAAAAGATATTGAAAACTCATACTCTAGAAACCTATTTTATTTGATGGTGTTACTGTGGGTTAAACCTAGGATTTCATATATGCCAAACCAGTGCTCTATAAATGAGCCATAACCCAACCCTCTTCTAATTCATTGTGAGATAGGGTCTCACTAAACTTCCAGGCAGGCCCTGAACTTTCCACCTTCCTGCTTCAGGCACCAGAGTAGCATGAATTACAAGTCCTCACCACCTGGCCCAGCTAGGGTCTTGTTAAATGCCAATTCCTGGCAAACAGGATATATTCATAACTGGCAAAACATTTCACTCATATTATAAAATTTTTCCACTTTTAAGCTGGGCATGGTGGTGCATGCCTTTAATGCCAGCACTTGGAAGGAAGAGTCACGCAGATCTCTATGAGTTAGAGGACAGCAAGTTCCAGGCCAGCTGGGGATACAGGGAGACCCTGTCTCAAAAAGACCAAAAAAAAAAAAAAAAAAAAAAAAATCCGCATATCCACATTATAGATTAGTTTCACTTAGGACTTCAATAAACTTAAATGTATACAATTGCTTCCACTGGGAGTTCTTATGTGACTTTTATTGTAGTTGTTGAAATGAAAAACACTTCACTTTCCAAACTGATAGAGTTTCAATCCAATGTCCATTACTATAAGGTACTGTGTAGCTATTTCCTATGAATCAAAGCATTCCCTCCTGCAGAATGAAGCTATCTCCCTGCCCTCACATATTTCTAATTCTTAACAATATGATACACTTGGTGTTACTACTTACTGTTTTAAAAATGAAAAGTCTTGGAAATGTTAAGCTCATGGAAGTGACCAGGACAGGAATTTGAACACACTTCTACTTACCAAAATCTCCCCTGCAGCCTTTCATTGTCAATTTTACTAGCTCAGGACAAAGAAAAAAATCTAATAATGAAGTGAACATGAATCAGAAAAGAACATCCTAAAAGTAATCAGGAATAACTCCCACTCTTAATTTTAAGAGGACAAAGCTTTCCTGTTTTCTTGAACAAATGATTGTAGACTATTATACAAACTGCAACATTCGATGATAGAGGGATGCCCTTAAAAACCCAGGTAGTAAACAAAATTTACAAGGGTCAGGAAGTAGACAAACATCACCAGTCTCAGTAAGGTCCGGAAACTTACAAAATTCACAAAGGTTATATAAGCAGTAATGGCTGCTGGGTTGGAAGAGTCTCCCATCACCTGAGCTGGCTAGAAGTAGAGCAGGGAATTCCAAGGATGCAGCTGTAATGAGTTGCCACTCTTGCTGGGGTGGATGTTTTTGTGATGCAGGCTGCTTCTCAGTCATCCATGTTCCTGTAAGTAACACTCCAACTCACCATCTTGTAAATAACCCCAATAAACTAATTGGCTTGACAAGCTGATCTTTGGTGGAATCATTAGTTTGGTTGATCACTGGTGTCCTACACAGGGTGAGTAGATGTTTGTTCATATCTTCCCTGAAGAGTCAGACAACAAAGGCCCATCTCCACTGTGCACAATCAAGTGTCTTTGAGTGCATGTGCAAGACATGAAGGTGTCTATACATTCCATTAATTGGCAGGGTTTTCATCCAGAATCAGTTCTTCAATATAATCGAATAAATTGAAGATATTCTCATGCAGGATTCCCATGATGTTTTTCTATATTATCACACACACACACACACGTTTTACTACTTGTTTTATTTTTATTGGGTTTTCCTCCCATCTTCTATACATTTGAAGGAAATCTTTAAAAGTTTTTGCACATTGTTTACATTTATGGGTTTTTTCCTCTAGCATGAGTTTTTTCATGCACTTGAAGGGAACTGTGGCGTCTGAAGGCTTTATCACATTGTTTGCATTCATAGGGCTTCTCACCAGTATGAGATCTTTCATGAATTTGAAGCAAACTAGGATAAAGGAAGGCTTTACTACATATATTACATTTATAGAGTTTCTCTCCAGTATGAGATCTTTCATGTGTCTGAAGAAAACATGGATAAATAAAGGACTTACCACACTGCTTACAACTGTAAGGTTTTTCTCCAGAATGAATTCTTTCATGCCTTCGAAGAGAACTTTGGCCTCTAAAGGTCTTACCACACTGCTTACATTCATAGGGCTTTTCTCCAGTGTGAGTTCTTTCATGTAACTGAAGGGAACTGGAACAACTGAGAATTTTACCACACTGTTTACAGTCATATATACCACTATGAGTTCTTTCATGTATTCGAAAATAACCAAGACATCTGAAGGTTTTACCACACTGTTTACATTCGTGGGGTTTTTCTCCAGTATGAGTTCTTTCATGTTCTTGAAGCAAACTGGGACATCTGAAAGCTCTACCACATTGTTGACATTCATAGGGTTTTTCCCCAGTATGGGTTCTTTCATGTCTTTGAAGACAAGAAAGACCCTTGAAGGCTTTTCCACACTGTTTACATTCATAAGGTTTTTCCCCAGAATGAGTCCTTTCATGTAATCGGAGGGCACTGTGACTACTGAAGGCTTTATCACATTGTTTGCATTCATGAGGTTTTTCTCCAGTATGAGTTCTTTGATGTCTTTGAAGAAAGGAGGGACAACGAAAGGCTTTATTGCATATCTTACATTTATAGGGTTTCTCTCCAGTATGAGACCATTCATGCATTTGAAGTAAACATCGAGAGATAAAAGACTTACCACATTGTTTACATTCATAGGGTTTTCTTTCAGTATGAGTTCCTTCATGGACTCGAAGATGACTGGGACTTGTGAAAGCTTTACCACACTGTTTACATTTGTAAGGTTTTTCTCCAGTATGAGCTCTTTCATGTACTCGAAGATTATTGAGACGAATAAAGGCTTTGTCACATTGCTTACATTGATAGGGTTTTTCTCCAGTATGAATTCTTTCATGCAAGTGAAGAGAACTAGAAGAACTGAGAGTTTTACCACATAGTTTACATTCATAGAAACTACTATGAGTTCTTTCATGTGCTCTAAGATTACTAAGACTTCTGAAAGTTTTATTGCATTGTTTACACTCATAAGGTTTTTCACCAGTATGAGTTCTTTCATGTACTCTAAGTAAACTATGATAGATGAAGGCTTTGCCACATTGTTTACACCCATGGGGTTTTTCACCAGTATGAGTTATTTCATGTATATGAAGACGACTGAGACCTCTGAAGGTTTTGCCACATTGTTTACAATCATACGGTTTTTCATGTAATTGAAGGGAACTTGAGCAACTGAGAGTTTTACCACACTGTTTACATTCATAGGGGTTTTCTTTATTATGAGTCTTCTCATGAACTCGAAGATAACCAAAACCCCTGAAGGATTTACCACACTGTTTACATGAATAAGGTTTTTCTCCAGTATGTGTTCTTTTATGTAATTGTAGAGAATTTAAACAACTGAGAATTTTACCACATTGTTTACACTGAAAGTGTTTTTCTTCAGTATGAGTTTCTTGGTGTATATGAAGGTAACTGAGACTTCTGAAGGCTTTGCCACATTGTTTACACTCATAGGGTTTGCCCCCAGCATGAATTATTTTATGTCTTTGAAGGGAACTATAGTCTCTGAAGTATTTGCCACACTGTTTACATGCAAAGAGTTTTTTCCCAATATGAGTTCTTTCATGTCTTTGAAGGAAAGAGGGACATAGAAAGGCTTTATTACATAGGTTACATTTAAAGGATTTCTCTCCAGTATGTGATCTTTTGTGTATTTTAAGTAAATAGGGATAAATGAAAGACTTGCCACATTGTTTACATTTATAGGGTTTTTCCTCAGCATGAATTCTTTCATGTCTTTGAAGTGAACTGTGCTCTTGGAATGATTTATTACACTGTTCACATACATAAGGTCTTTCTTCAGTATAAGCTCTTTCATGTACTTGATGATAACTGTGATATGTGAAAGCTTTACCACACTGTTTACATTCAAAGGGCTTTTCTGCAGTATGAGTTTTTTTCTGAAATTGAAGGGAACAGGAAAAACTGAGAATATTGCCACATTGTTTATTATATTCATGGGGGCTTTCTTCAGTACAAGGAATTTCATGCAGTTGAGGAGCTCTGTGATGTCTAAAGGGCTTATCATTCTGTTTATATTCAGAATGTGCTTCTCCAGGAAGAAACTGTTCATGTCTCTGAAGAAAACTGGAAGAACTTACAGCTTTATCATATTTATTATATTCATAACATTTTTCTACATTATGAGTTTTTCCATATGTGCAAAGTAAATCAGAACAAATGAAGGAAGTTCCACATTGATTATATTCATAGAGTTGTTTTTCACTGTGAGTTTGTTGATGTATTCTAAATGAGCTGGAAAAACCAGAGAAATCTGAACATACCTCACATCCATAATGTCCACTACCAGTGTGGGTCCCAATGTATCTTTGAATACTTGTGAGAGAATTTAAGGTTTTCCAACACTGTTCATATGTATATTGCTTCTTACCATAGTCCTCAGGCTCAGGTGTATATCCAGAGTGAGATATGATATGCCTAATAAAGGATAAATGACACATGAAATGTTTTCCACACACACCACATTCACATGATTTTAGTCTCATAGAAGCTTTTACATTCCTAGTGAGATCTGGTATCCATGTAAAGGGTTCTCCAAATTCTTTATTCTCATAAAGTGTTTCAACCATGTAACTTCTGTAAAAATTGACACACACACATTAATAATAATTGCTCTACTAATGAAAGATTACTTATTAGTAACTCTTGAACTTACACCATTCCAAAAACCAGGGGAAGTATATATATTTTTGTTATATGTCAATGGTTTAAAACTAAATGGAGCCTCTAAACAGTTTGCACAGACTAATATCAAATCAACATTGCATTTGTAGTTTTTTTGGTACTGATTTACAGATGAATTGTTTTGCAAATACTGAACAGCTTTCTTAAACCAAAGCACATATTTTTGGTAAAAAATTTCTAAAAATTAATAAATTTAAATTTATTTTTTATTTGTTTGCTTAATTTATAACACATTAACACATTTGTTCATGCTAATTACCTTAGACTTTTCTCAGGATGCTTATACTGTTCTTCAGTGTTTCGGTCTTGCCTTTCATTTCCTAAAACGTACACACATAAGTTATTAGAAATTATAGAAAAATGATTAGTTTCTAGGTTAAATGTACATTTTCACCTTTCTTCACTGACTAAGTGAAGGAAGGATGGCATTCTTACCTATAAAAGCAAGGGTCCTGCAGATATCCAACATCACATCTCTATACAGGTTCTTCTGAGAAGGTTCCAGTAAAACCCACTCTTCCTGTGTGAAGTTCACAGCCACATCTTCAAAGGCCACCAAGTCCTAAAACATCCCATATATAAGAGAACTGGTAAGAGTAACAACACTCAGTTGATAAGACATTCACATAATTCTGTGTTCTCCAAGCACTTATTTCATGACAACAGCTAGCATAAAGTTATTCAGAAAGGAAACAACACAGTAAGAACAATCCTCTGATTACTGGGCCAAAGTAGTAGAATTTGATGCTGGGTCACCCAAATTTTTTTTTTCTAGAATGGATCTTTAATATCCCTTTTAACAAAGTTCTATCACATGATATACATGAGTGACTTAACATTAGCAATCAAAGGGCTATTTTTCCTAAGCAATTCATTTACATAAAGTTTGGGCTTTACTCCTACAAGGGAACCTGAGAGATTCCAAAAACATGAATGATAAAAGTAGTGCATTCAGCATAAATGATTCATGCAAACATTATGGCATTTTTCTGAGCTCCTGTTAGTATTCTGAAAGTTCCAAACACAGAGAGATTAGCAGCCCCCTAATTACTCTGGGCAATGAATCTACTGGGTTTTCCTGGTAGATATTTCACACATGTTGTCTAAACTTCTTAAATGGAGAACTGAGCCTGTGCTATATGATACACTAAGAAAAAAACATTTAGAAGACTAAAAAGTGGTGCAGACAAGGTTAAATTCAATCAAGTAGTAAACATAATAGGTGATCAATATTTAATGATCTTACAAAATGATTTAAAAGTATCTGTTGGGTAAATGTCAAAATGGAGTAAGTAAGCTCATCATTTTACAAAGAACTCAATGTAGCCAGGTGTGTTGGCACATGTCTATAGTCCCAGCTACTTGGGAGACTGAAATATAAGGATCATGTGAGCCCAGGAGTAAATCCATCTATTTAACATAGCAAGATGTCCATCTCGTGGGGGAAGGGAGCTTTGGAGAGAAGTGAAGGAAGTAAAGTCAGTATTACCAGAATGCCACCTCTTCAAATTAAGCCTTTATGAAATCACATGAAACTCAAAAACAGACTTTTAAAAAATATTTTATTATTTTTATTTTCTGTGTATTAGTGTATTGCCTGCATGTAAGTGCGTGCACCCATGTTGTGCAATGCCACGGAGGTCAGAAGAGGGCTTCGGATTCCCCTGGAACTGGAGTTAAGGACGGTTAGCAGCTGCCATGTGGGTACTGGGAATTGAACCCACGTCTTCTGCAAGAGCAGTCAGTGCTCTCAAATGCTGAGCCATCTCTCCAGCCCCAACAGACGTCTTCATAGTCACCAAAAACTACATTCCAAACCTACTGGCACAAATGCATAGCAATTGTAAAAATCTTCTGAACAAACGAAGCTGGAGGGATATCTCAATGGTTAAGAGCACTTGATGATCTTGCAGAGGATGTATTCCTTACCCTAGCACCCACATGGCAGTTCAAAACTGTCTGTAACTCCAGTTACAGGGGATTCTACACCCTCTTCTGACCCCGAGAAGCACAAGCCACAGACATGGTACACATGCATACAAACAGGCAAAATATTCATCACAAAAAATATAAATAAATCTTAAAAAACTTCTGAACAATAGTGTGATGGTTTGCATAACATAAATGAAGAACTTTCAAACTATACTGTAGACATATAGGGTCAAAAATTAAAGCAAAATTGCCACATTTTAACAAACACACCATGATCATTTGGAGACTGACCCCTAGTGACCCAAGTCCTATTACACAAGAGGCAGTCTAAAGAAAAACAACTTACACTGTAAAAATTACTACTCAACAACATAACAAATGTCCACCGACCAGGTCCCTTGGTGTTCCTCCCATTCTCAGCAATTTTCATTTTTCCTTAATAAATATAACTTTGCTCTGCCCAACAACAAAACAAAATATATACCTACTCTTTAGATATGGATACCACAGAAATGGCTAACAGGTAAGACCAAATCTCCAAGTCACTCCCTCTTTAACTATCACAAAAAGAACGTCCACTCCCTCTCAATGTTGCGATGCTCTCTCTGGGAAGCTGCCAGCTACTTCCTTGAACTGTACTTCAATGCATATGTACTATGCCCATGTCGTTGCTGTTAAGTAAATTAACAGCATTTATCGTAGGCTAGTGATGTCTCAAATGGTAGCTCTTCAACTGGTTCTTCAACTCCTTCAGGCTTCTGATGGCAGATTTGACTGTGAGTTTCTGTGGTGAGTGGTGGTGTAGGTCCAGACCCCACCAGCCACTGTTTTCATACAGAAAGCACAGTGCCAGATGCCCACAGCCAGTTTCTTCATCTTGGTTTTGACATAGAATGAGCAGGTACACTAGGTGTACTGGCTGATTTCAATTTTCTTCACCATTTTCCACATGGTAACACCACATGGGGTTCTGTATTTACTGATGGTTCCTTTTTTTTTTTTTTGATGTGTTTAACCATAATGCCATGACCTAGGACTGGAGCCCATTTGTGTTTTGGTGAATTCTTTTTACTGACCATGTCATCAGTGTGGTCATATGGCATTTTGATGGCCTCTAGAGGGGCTCTCTCTTTTTTCCCTTGGCCTCTCCTCTCTGGTGCTTGTTGTAGTGAGCAGAAAGGACCTGACTTGGGCTGCTCTCTGCAAGACCCAAAGGCCTTTCAGTCATGACTCCAATGGACACCTATCAAGGGACAGACAAGCTAAGAAATTCTTTTGGGGACTGGAGAGATGGCTCAGCAGCTAAAAGTGCTGTCTGCTCTTGCAGAGGACCAGGTTCAGTTCCCAGAACCCACATGGCAGCTATCAACCATCTGTAACTCCAGTTCCATTTTTAAAAATTCTTTTTGGCCCTTGCAGAAAGCCTAACTGATAGAATGTGTGAATTGCAGAAGAGCCACAAGCCTCATTAGGGAAAGCCATAAATCCCTTAAAGTGTCTAACTGGCCCTAAATTGGCAGCCTGGCCTTGCTCAAGCCTTATCAACTGGTCATTCCCTGGACTGAGAGAGACTATTTATGAAGCCCACCTGTCTCCTTTAGTGCTACAGATAACTCACCTGCCTGCCTGAGAAAAAAATTTTGGGAGAAGATACCCTCAAGGACACCAAACCCTTGCACAGAGTTAACTCTTGCAGCTGTGTGCAGCACAGCCCCTACATAAGTCCAGACTGTTCCCCATTTCATTGCAGATTATCATTCCTTGAGGATGAGCTTTTATCAGCCTTTGCTGGATTCCTTGGATCCAGGGAACCCATTCCTTGCCTGTTGCAGGTCTAGCTCTGGCTCTTCTAAACTAAACTCCCTTTTTCTGCCCTCCTAAATCTTAACACTTACTTCCTGTTCACAACTAATGGATAGTGGCCAAGGCAATTCTTTGGTGGAGCCTCATGGGAATGGAAAAAAAGGGGAAGAATCAACTACAGGCCAAACTTGTAAAGGGCTACCTTTCTTTCTTCTGGGAATCCCCTCACTTTCCAGTTAGAAAGCTGACTCCCCCTAACTGGAATATACTCTCCTTCACATACTCACTTGGGAAAAAAAAACCCAGGGAGCAAATAAGAACAGCCTCCTTTTGCTCAGAAAACAGTCTTCTCCCTCAAGAGCTGACAAGGAGAACTTGGCACCTTACAGTACATATCTCTTTACTCAAAGCCGGTCTGCCTAAAACCTAATCAAAACCAAGATCATTAGCCCAAATTACTCTACCTTTATTGAGGAATTCAAAGGGTTCAATGTGGCCTTTGACTTAAACTGGGAAGGCATATTTTTAAAAATTTATTATTTTTATTTTATGTGTATGCATGTATTGCCTGCATGTAGGTAAGTGCACCCACGTCCTGCAATGCCTACGGAGGTCAGAGGAGGCTGTCAGGTCCCCTGGACTGGAGTTACGGACAGCTGTTAGCTACCACGTGGGTGCTGGGATTCGAACCCGAATCTTCTGGAAGAACAACCAGTGTTCTTAACCACTGAGCCATCTCTCCAGCCCCTGGGAAGTCATTTTTTAAACATGCTAACCAGTTGGTATATACACAGTAGAGTTCCTGCAACTGGTCTTTAGCATGGATGTGCTGATAAGGTCTGTACTCATAACCCCATTACAGCCAGGCCAGGCTCCTTTCTTATAACGGATATGAAAACCAACGCGTCTATCAGGATACTGATGTTAGGAATTGTGTAGCAATGGAACATAAAGCCCAGAAATAAATCCACAAAAATAAAGACAATTGAGTTTATGTTAAATAACAAGTACAGAACTTCTAGAAGATAACCCAGAAAAACGACATGGCCTATAGTTCAGCAACCTGCCTGCCAGGGAGACGCCAAAATCACCACGTTTGAGCGCCCACCGCTAAATGACGTCACTGGCGCCGGGGCTCCGCTTCTACTCGCCGCCGGCAGGCGCAGACTCATCGCCTGCACGGCCCGGTCCCGCCCCGCCCCGCCCGGGGAAGACCCAGCACAGCCCGCTCTGGCGGCTCCAACGGCCGCTGCTCCCGTCTGCACACGGCCGGCCCCGCGCTCACCATGGCCGGGTTCCGGCTTCGCCCGCTCTCTCCTCTGCTCCCAGCAGGGCGCTCACGGAGCAGTACTCGCAGCACCTCTCCCAGTCCGAGAGCGGAAGCCGCAGCATGGCGGCTCAAATAAGCCCGCCTCCGGCGCCCGTTGGCATTCCTGATTGGACGGCCCGCATGGAGGCCCTGATTGGCTAGTAAAGCCTGACTGACAGGAGGTGCTGAAATGATGGCTAGCCACAGCCTTTCCCAGTACCAGTTTCAGCGCAGTGGCTTTCAGTAAGTTCATACATTTCTTATGTTACTCTTTTTCATGATACTGAGGAAGGAAATAAAAGGAATTAGTAAATGGGAACGCATATTAAGGATGTAAATATGAGGTTATAATTTTGGTGAAAAGAAAGAACATTTAGATGAAGATTTTTTTTTTTTTTTTTTTTTGAACAGGGTCTCCCTGTAGCGCCAGCTGGCCTGGAACTCACTGTGTAGACCAGGCTAGCCTTGATGTGTCACAGTGATCCGCCTTGCCCCTGCCTACTGAGTGCTGGGGCTAAAGGCGAGCGACACCACACCCAGCCAAGAAAGGATTTTTGGATGGTAATATAAGATTTTATCCTAATGTAATGGCCTCCAAATGGAGTTCCCCAAATTGTAATGACCAAAGCAACTTCATTTTGTACAAAGCAGCCACTTTAAACTTCAAAAGCTAGCGAGATGGACAGTTCAAGGTCAGGCCTGAACTTACTTTCCCTTAGAAGAGTGTTTTTCTTTGAAGTAGCTGAGCCTAGAAAGAAGAGTCACCACCAGACCCTGCAGCTGTGCTTGCCTCGCCAAGGGAGCTAACCAAAATAATATCCTGTCTTTCTTGGTAAAATGCTAAAATAATAATAACAGAAAGTTCCTTACTGTCAAGGTCTCTATATCTCTGTTAAGAAAAGGACTAACAAATGCTGATTTTGGCCTCTACAGTTTGCTTATCCTGCTAACTTGGGCTGTCCTGACCCTACTCAGGACCATCTGGTATTACTCATGTGTGAAGGAATTCTTGCAGGGTTTTTTTTTTTTGTTTGTTTGTTTGTTTGTTTGGTGGGTTTTGCCTTTATAAGCTGATTCCACCCTCCCCTCCTGGCCATGTGTCTTGAATGTGACTGTGAGAGATCACTGATGGCCATTGCTCTAATAAACCTTGGGTAATTAAAATTTAAATTTGGTCTGGTGGTGTCCCCGTCGTCGTCCCGTCCCATCCCGTGTCGGTCCCCCCCCCCCCAGTTTCAGTAGTTTCAAGCTTCGTAAAGGTAAAATGGCTGGACTTTTCCAAAAGGAAAAGATGAGGTCAAAAATAGATTTAAGAACATCCCAGAAGGTCAGTAAGTTGTACAAAAATTATGGAGAATGAACCCTAAAGATAGTGTATTTTGTTGACTGAAGGTTATTAACATTTCTAAGGTTAGTTAGGCAAGATGGGTTAGTAAGAAAAGGCACCTGCCACCTGAGTTTGATCCCCAGGACCCACATGGTGGAAGGAAAGAACATACTCCTGCCAGTGAAGGTTCTATGACCTTCACAAGCATGTACACACACACACACACACACACACACACACACAAATGCTTTAAAAAAAATTTTTTTAACTCCTGAGGTCAAAATTCAGTGTACTGAAATAAAACTAAAATCAAATCCTTTGTTTAAATTGAAGAGGTTTCCTAAGATTTTAATCAAATCTTAGTAACTCTTACAAAAACTGGCTTCCTAGCTGGGAGTGGTAGTTCACACCTTTAATCGCAGCACTAGGTAGGCAGAGGCAGGAGGATCTCTGTGAGTTCTAGGCCAGCCTGGTCTACGTAGTGAGTTCCAGGCCAGCTGGGGCTACAGGGGAAACCCTGCCTCAAAAAGACCAAAAAAAAAGAAAAAAGAAGAAAAAAGAAAAAAATTACATTTAATCAAGATAGTTGCTTGCTTATGTCTTCTAAGAAGTTTGTCAGGCTTTTAGCTACTAGAGAACTAAACCATATCAAAACCAGGATTTATTTTTAAAATTTTTTGGTCTTAATTTTATCTAAACACAACCAAAAAAGTTAAAACTAGAAGACATGAAGCTGGCCCTCAGATGTTCAAAAACCCAAGCTTGGAGCTATTGAAGGTAGAGGGACAAAAAGGATAGTCAATACTTTAGTCCTTATCCTCCAAGGGCAGCCAGAACCTAGGGAATGACAGGAGGCCCCTAAAGGGGTCCTATAACTCTAGTAAGTCACCTGTCCTCAGAAATGCCATGGAGACTACAGTGGTTGGACTCTAGCTAGTTCATGCCTGCAGAAAGGACAGTCGTTAAAGAGGGGACCGTCCCCTGTTCTTCCAAGGGAAGAGACTTGATCAGCAAGACCCTCATCCATCTCTGCAGATAGGAAAACTGATGAAGGAAAAAACTTAGAGACAAAGGGACTCTCCTCACGTCTAGGGCAACCCTTAAAGAGTCACAGCTTAGGAGCTGGAGAGATGGCTCAGTGATTAAGAGCACTGACTGCTCTTGCAAAGAACCCAGGTTCAATTCTCAGCACCCACATGGTGGCTAACAACTGTCCATAACTCCAGTCCCAGGGGATCTGACACCCTCTTTGGGCTTCTGCAGCCTTGCACAACTTGGGTGCACTTACATACCTGCAGGCAATACAATCATACACATAACAATGTTAAAATATAAAATATTTTTAAAAAGATTTGCTTCATTTTTATTTATGTGTGTGTGTGTCTCTGTGTGCTTGAACATATGAATATGGGTGCTGGCATATGTCAGAAGAGGGCGTCAGAGCCCATGGAGCAGGATTTACACTTAGTTATGAGCTGTCAGGTGTAGGTGCTGGGACCAAAACTCCTGTCCTCTGCAAGAGCAGCAAGCACTTATTAACTAGTGAGCCATCTCTCCCACCCCATTTTTTGGTTGTTTGGTTTTCTTTTCTTTTCTTTTTCTTTTTTTTTTAAAGCAGGGTCTCACTATGTAGTCCTAGCTAGCTTTGGAACTCACTATGTAAACCAGGCTGGTCTTGAACCCACAGAGGTGCACCTGCCTCTGTCTCCTCAATGCTGATGTTCAAGAATTGAGCTGCCATGCCTGGTGAGGTAGGAAAGAGGGCCTTTATGGTCTCTAAGCACCATCAGTCATCCTTTCAGCACACGTCCCTCTGCTCAGGGTAATGAGGAAGGCAAGCATGGTGCTGGAGTCCTCTTTGCTGGACTCTTCATGAAATGAAATCTGTGGCCGTGGGAACCTGGTGCTCCTACACTGGGTGGAGGCCACAGGGTTGAGTGTGATGGGCAGAGAGCAGTCTTGATTTCCTTCTGCAGGTGTTTGGGTCCATGCCTGTTCGGTGAAATGAATGATGGCATGAAGGTTCCATGGAGCTCAAGGTCCTCTGTACCACATGTAAAATGCTGGATGACAAGAAACATGCTCTCAGTGACTTTGATAGATGAAAGATATTGTTCTTCACTGTAGTTACCCTGCTGTGCAAAAATAGCTCCCCAAAGTGAGTCCTCAAGCCCAACTGAAAATTTCTGACCTTTCTCCAACAACCCACTTTTCCTTCCTCTGTCCTGTCCTCCTCCAACCTCTGGTACCCACCATTCTACTTTGAAAATTTTAGTGGGATCCAGTGAACTTGTGTTTCTAACATATGTGAAGACACGTGATTTAATGATCTAAATTGCACTGGTATAGACTCCATATAACTCTATGAAATTAAGATCTTTCAGTTGGGGATAGGAGAGATGGCTCAACAGTTAAAAGCATGTATTGCTCTTACAGAGGACCTGGGTTCAATTCCCAGCACCCAAGAAGCTCACAATCACCTACCTGTAACTCTAGCTACAGGAGGTCCAACACCTCTGGGTTGTTGTGCACATGCCCACACAGCCCCCCCCCACACATATAATTTAAAATAAAAATCTAAAAAAAAAGGATTTGTCTAAAATAAAAGAAGATCTGTCAACTATAAAAGATATGTGGGGCTGGCAAGATGGTTCAGCAGGTAAAAGCACTTGGTGCCAAACCTGACAACCTGGAACACACATAATGGAAATAGAGAACCAACCCCTGTAAATTGTCCTCTGACCTTCACATGCCAGACATGTCATAGGTTTGTGGGCATAAGTACCCACACATGCATGCAGAAATAAATGAATAAATGTAAAAAAGAAGTTATATGTGTATGTACTTTGTGTGCATGCGTGTGTGTGTATGTATGTATGTATGTATGTATGTATGTGTTTTCACTGTCCACTTCCTTTGGAACCTCTCTATTCCTGAATTACAGAAGTATCTTTGGGGCCAACTGAACAACAGCAAGGAAGGGGTTAAGAACAGTCAGGGATGAAGTCCGGACATTTCTTGAAAACAAGAATGTTGGGCTCCATGGAACGCTGCCTTAGTCATAGATCAGAGAAAAACATAAGTCTAAGTTGTGGTACTGCAAAATATAGGATGATTGTTTAATGTTAAATGTAATCACCGACTGACTTGCCTTCCTAGAAATTGTTAAAATCTATAGATTGTGCCAGGTGTGGTAGTACATACCTTTAATCCCAGCACCCAGAAGGCAGAGGCAGGCAGATCTCTGTGAGCTCAAGGCCAGCCTGGTCTACATAGTTCCAGGACAGCTGGGGCAACAGGGAGACCCTGTCTCAAAACAAACAAACAAACAAACAAAAAAGAAAAACTATAGATTGTGTAAGAAACTAGTATATTCCTTGTAGCCCACTGATTAAATGCAAACCTGTAGAATGTGCTTTGTTCTTTATGAAACTAATTCTTGCATGTATTCTGGCATAAACACCAAGCTTGTAACTGCAGTTTTGAAGTGTAAAAAGCACTGCTAAAGAATGAAACTCACTCCTCTCCTCCATCAGAGGGTTGAGTCCTTTGCCTTCACTCATTCTGTTGTCCACCAGCAGACCTGAGTCTCTACAGCCAACAAGCAACATATTCTTAGAATACAAGTAGCAATGTTGTGAACCCGCCTCCAGCCCTAGTTCTTGTCACTGTGACGCTACCCAGTGGGGAGGGTTTTTCTTCTGATGACGTACCCTGGGAAGAGTTGCTAGTATCTGGCAGCCCCA